GACCTCCTCTAACTCCCCAGCTTTTCTCTTGCATTCTCCACTATCTTCTCTTCTGCCTGACAGGGATTAATTCAGTGGCACTAGACCAGACACTGCAATCCAGAGAGGGAAGATGTCTGTTTCCTCCCTCTATCAGACTTTGCTCTCTTGCCACTGAAAGATCAATGAGAACTGACAAGCCAGGGCTGGTGCCAAGGAAAGGTCAGACCACAACACTGGTAAACCCTGCTGGTCACTCCAAGGAATGTTGAGCTCCAGACAGGGTACAGAGTGCTTCCCTGAGGGGCTCTTCCTTCTCCTCCCCAAGCCCTCCACTTTGCCTGCCCTCCTCTCCCTTTCCCAGGGCTGCTCACCCATGAAGTTGTAGTTCCAGGACCCTTGTGCTGGGACCATGAAGAAGCCAAGGAAACGATCAGACAGCAGCATCTGCACCCTCTCGTAGTGGGATGGCAGGTACCCCTTGGGGTTGTTGCCCTTGTCCGTGTTCTGCCTGCCCCACTCGTAGCCACTGGGGGTCAGTTTGTAGGCAGTCAGGGTGCAGGAGCCAGGGGTGAAGCTGGGAGAGGGGAGCAGAGAGATGGGGCAGGTCAGATCCACGTGGAGGGAAGAAGGACACCAGAACGGAGCCAACGCTCCCTTTCTGCCACATTTTGAGTTTGAGACCTCAACGTGTTCTGTGGGAGCTGCACCCACACAGGAGCCTCACTCCTCACCTGCAGGTGATGATGATGGTCTTCTCCCCATCCCAGGAGGGGTTGTCAGCCATGACCTTGGCATGGGTGGTGACATCCTGTGGTGAGAGCTGAGGGGACTCGTTGGGTTGGGTGTGAATCCACCCCAGTGGTTCCATTTCCTGACAAAAAGAGGGACATTTTAGGGAGAAATCAAAGACCTTTAGAACACGGCCACTTCAAGCATGGCACAAGGTGCAGAGGGACCAAAGGCTTCCCTGTCATCTCATCCCACATCAGGCTGGCTTCAGGCCAAGCTCCTGAAGTCCCACATGTACAACAGACCAAGAGAAGTTGCCCTACCACCTCAGGTCCCTGTTACTGGGGACTGTGATCTTCCACCCACACCAGGAGCTCAACTCACCTTGAGATACTCATGCTGTGGCAGCTGCCCAGGGAGATGGACAGTCTGGTGTGTTCCCCACTGGGGCACCATTACAATGCACCGGATCTCCTTCACCTGGGGGTTGTCAGGGGGGCTCACTCCATACAGGTAACCTGCAATCTAGGAACACAAACACCTGCCTCAGAGGCCCAGAAGAGAAATCCTTGTAACCATGTTAAGAAAGGCTGGGCCCTGCCCTTAGTTCCAATGGCAAGTATCTCTTTGTTGGTGGGTTCTCACTAGAGGAAATCGTAGTTTTGTCCAGGGATAAGTTTCCCTTCAAATTTGACCACAAGGAACCATTAGGACACAGCTGGAATCCACGTGTGCCCAGCTGTGTCCAGCACAGAGTGCACCACATGGACAGCAGCAAGTTCCCAGCCCTTCACCATGAGGCCCTGACTGCCCAGGACTGCTTTCTGCCACAGCAATATGGACTACGACTGTAACACTGGTTGCAAGCTCACCTGGGCCCGAAGATCTGAGATGCAGATGAATTTCTTCAACACATTCTTGGGCAGAATGTAGGTGTAGCCTGTTTCCTTGATATCATCTGATGAAACGTAGATGTGGTTTGTCCGCAGGTGGAGGTTGGCAGCTGAGATGGCTCTGAGAAGAGGAGAAAACCACTTGTGGGTGCACAGATCCCCTCTTGAGCACCCTGAGCCCTCCCCTGCCCAGCAGCTCTGCCTGCCTTCCTACCTGACTCGCCACTCGGTCTTGGAGGAGAAGGTCTGGGTTTCATAGTTGCTGGTGGTGGAGGTGATGATTTCATCCCCGTGCTTGTTGACCGTGCGGGTCTGCGTGGCCGTCAGCTGCGACTGCTCCTTGGTCTGCTTCTCAATCTCTGCAATCTGCTGCCTCTGCTGGGAGGGGGCAGAGATCTCCATGCCCAGGATAATGTCTCGGATCTCTGACTGGGTCAGGGATGCCACATTCACACTGAAAGAGAAAAATCCACCTGAGTCAGGTGTTTCAACAGACATTCTAGACTCTTCTCACTGAGGAACAAGCTCAGAACACTCAGGGGACTATGAAAAAATGAAACCACAACTTTTTAGAAAAGGGAAGGGACCAAATCACATGATGGGCAGATAAGAAAAAAGATTTGGTGGAGACATTTTGATCTGCCTTGCTAGAAAGCAATTAACAATCACAACCAGCTTCCCTACCAAGCTGACAGTTCATTGCCAAAGGCCCTTTAAAGTCTCCACCAGGAGCACTCTGGCCACACAGTTTTTAGAGCAGGAAGGAAAGGCTGGCAGGGTTACTGCAGCTGCACAGGGGCTTACTTGTTCTTCTTGCCATAGTCAGCAAGGATGAGATCCTTCAGCTGCACCTCCACCTTGATCCACTCCTCATCTGTCAGGGTTGGCCAGATGTGGTGGGGCTCTGTTATGGTTGTCTTGTCTGGTTTCAGAATAACTTTGGCTCGATCGTTGTTGACGTGCAGCGCCCGGAGAATCAGGATCAGACGGGAGAAGGCCTGGGAGAAGGAAAAAGAAAAGATGCAGCTAGTCAGAAAGAAGGAAAACAAGTACACAAGGCCCTGGTACAGCACTGCTCTGCTTGGGCACACCAGCATGGCACGGCAAGTGCCAGTGGAGTCCCCACCTGAAGGGAATTCCAGGCAGACTCAGAGCCATGTGCTCCCAAGCAACAAATGGTGTGGGGGCCCTGAAGCCGTGGCTCCTGCTTGG